CCCTGCCTCCCTGTTCAGTGTCCCCTGTTTCTGCAGTCCAAAGGGTGAACGTCAAGGAAGCAGCTGCAGTTTAAGCTCCCCCAGGGATGTGGTGGTTTCTGCACAGCTTATGCCCAGGGAGGGAGTTAATCCCCTGCTGCTGGACAGGCTGTGGTCTGCCAGGCACTGGCTGCTTACCCCCTGCCCTTTGCTAGGCCAGATGCTGAGAACTTGGTTGCAACTTTGTCAAATATGTGTGGGTGGAGCCCTACAAAAATCTATGACAAATGGAAGTCAAAAGCTGTCTTTTCTGCCTGCCAGGCCTGCGTGAGCTGTCTGGGGCCGTCAGCCAGGCTGCTTCCCATTTTGGCTTTTGGACTTTCACAAGAAATGTTTGTCCCCTTCAGTTTGCATTCCCCGCTCCTTGGCCCTTTCCTTGGTCAGAAATGTGCATGCCAGTTGTGCACAGTAAGGCCTGAGAAAGCTTTCACTAATCTTATTTCTCTTTACCAGAAACATCTTAAAAAGAATTAATCATTTGAGCTTTCACAGACTTTTTCCTGATTTCTTGGAGGAACTGTGGACACAATGCAACTCTTAAGTAATGCTTTGTCTCTAAGGAACAGAGGCAGCACTAAATATGAAAACTGACTTCTCTGACATGTTAAGAGAAAAAAAATTGTTATATTCAAGTAGTCCACATACTTCTAAATAAATATTGAAGTGGCTGCAGAAAGCCTGCAAGGCTTTCTTATCAGTGAAAGGGGAAAAACAAAACAAAACAAAACAATAGCTGTGGATGCTCCTCCCCTTGTGATCTGTGGGGGGAGGGTTTTGTTGCTCAGATGAGCAACACTCCTGTATCCCACTCCTGGTGGATACCCATCAAAAAAGGTGCAGCCCGTAACAGCAGTGTCGTTTCAGCCTGGTGTTCTGGAGGTCACCGAGTGGCTTTGCGGGGATCACTGAACCCACATTAAGTTTCCTGCCTCAGGCTATTGTCCCAAGCTCAGTGGTCCCCCATGTGCCAACAGCTGCAGCGGGATTACCTAGTGGGATAAATTCAATCTGGAGGAATACACGAGGTGGTATGTTTAAGGAATTCCCCAGGAGTGCTGCATGGTCTTTGTGTTGGCATAAGGGATACAGTATTTTGCTGCTGTGCCTTCTGCTTTATCCTGCAGCACTGTGAGGGTATTTAGGGCTGGTTCCCACAGACATTTTCTCCAGACAACCATATTGCTCAGGAGAACCCTCTAGAAAAGCACCACACTACCAGCATACTCAGCAAATCCAAATCCAAGCAGGCCAGGAAAGTGACAATTTTCTGATTGCTTCATGATCCCAGGAACTGGCATTTCTAGGGGAAAATAAACTCCTAAGACCATTATGAATAACTTAAATGTTGTTCATTAGAGTAAAACATCTATTCTGTTGATGATTGTTAACTGCCAATTTAATGTGTAAGTTTAAAAAAATCAAGATGTTCTTTAATCTTGATACTTTAGAAAAACCTGCTTGGATACTTGGTCAAACTCAACTTTCATAATTTTGAATAAATAGCATTTTCCAGTGGAGATGGTTAGAACAATTTTGTTCAGTTGTTCTTACTCTTTTGATAAAATGTGCTAATTTTAGTGAGAATACCTGAGGACAGCAGACAAAATTGCAAGGGCAGCTGGGAAGTCTTCCACTGTAAGTATCTAGTATAATCTGAAGTCAAAGATCCTCAGGCAAACAGAGAGAGAGAGAGCAAACGTCTCTAAGGGCTAAAATCCCAGCTGAGTCTCAAATTCACTGTGCAGGAGAGAAAGGCCTGTAATCTGCTAACGAAAGCAGATGTACAAGAGCAATTCTGGCAGCTACATCTGTCATGCCACCTCCCCACCTCCCCCCCTCGCCCTGTTAAACCCACTCTTCCTCCTAGTCATACGTGCTTTCCTCAGAGATGACAAAAACAGGCACGCACAAATGTCAATCATGCAAAATTCATCCCTTCTATCAGGCATCCTCTTCCCGTCCCATGTTAGAGTCTTACCAAGTCCTTACGCTCCCTCAGTCTCTGGGGGAAGGCTCTGGGCATGTTGGCCAGGTAGAGGGCAGGATCCTTTGATGGATGCTGCAGCCACTGGGTCGCTCCCCACACCAGCTCCCGTGCTGGGGGAAACGCGGCCCCTGGTCTCACACACACCCTGCAGAGCATCCCTTATGGCTCCATCCCCTCATGCAGACGTACCCGGGAGCTGCTGAGGGCCTGGTGTGACAAGAGGGAACCGGGCCGAGGGGCTGGTGTGACAAGAGGGGAACGGGCTGAGGGGCTGGTGTGACAAGAGGGAACAAGACTGAGGGGCTGGTGTGACAAGAGGGGAATGGGCTGAGGGGCTGGTGTGACAAGAGGGAAC